TTCGATACTTACATTTTTTCCGCTAATTTATATACAGGTCCCATTGATTTTGATAATTCTTCACATTTTGCCATTAATTGATACATCGATTTAATATTATGATCCACCGCATCGCACGTTTTACAAACTGCATCCCTATATGTTTCTAAACAACCTACCGTGAGTGCGGAAGCCTAAAAGTAATTTTAATTATAAAATATTTTAAAAATTTAATGAGAGAAAGATGAAAAAGAATAAATAGATGCAAAAGATTACACTATGCAAAATAGCTGCCAAATTTTCTGTTAATGCATCAACGGATGTAGCCACTTTTCTTGCTTCCATCTCTAATTCATTTAAAACATTATGATCAAGAAGAGGCACCTGAGGCGTTAGAGCTTGCCTATATAAACAAGGTGTAGAACTTCGAGAACCAGGAAATGATGGAGTTTCTCCTTTTTTTGTCACAGGACTGGACAATTTAATTTTGTTTTCTAAATCTTCTGCAACAAATAATACCATATCGCCATCTTGCATCACTGTTCCCTCAAGTTGCAAGTATCCCATAGCTTTATGATAACTTGGAGGATCTATATCTTCATCTTCAATTGGACTAGACTCCCTATTTCTTAAGTTCAATTGATCTGGTCTAGTACCAATTCCATTCATTTTATCTAAGCTTTCTTCCAAAAACTTTTTTCCATCAATATCCGGAGAATCGATCAATGATCTTAGTTCAGAAACAGGTGGTGATGATTGTGAATCGAATGATATTTCCGAATAGGAGGCTGTCATCTCGTGTAACTGAAATGATTATAATCAATTCTCTTAATATAATCCTTTGTAATTAATTGTATTTTGCAAATACAAATACTGTCCTTACACACGATTTATTAAGTCTAACCTTACTCTGTCTTCATCGTAGTCGATAGTTGTATTTTTCTCGCTACGTATTGTCGTTCCTTGTTTTGGATATGTTTCTCCTTCTTCCGATTCCATATTTAACAAACAATTAATATTTTTCACACGTTTTTACCAAATGATACGAATGTATCTTATTTCATTTGTATCACGATGATTAAACAAAACAGATAAACACAAATTCACAATTATTGATTCGTAAGGAGGATTTTCATTAGATTTCTAATGTTGTGTATGCGCCTTAGTAAATCATGAATATATATCACATATACTATATGTACTATATATTTATATAGTTATAAATCTTTAATTATTGAATTTTTATAACTATAATTTCTATAACTCTTACTTCAATTGTTTTTATTAACATATTAAACTAATAATTGTAGCCTAAATAGGCTAATAAGCAAATAAGCTTTAAATATATATATATATACATAAATAATAAATAAAAATTTTAATCTATATAACTTTTAATACACGGATATTTTTTTTAATTGATTCAATATATTTTATGTATATATATTTTTACATTTATTTTAAAAGATAATAAATTAATTAGATATTATTATTTTAAATGCATAAATTTTATAGATCAAATACATATAAATTAAAGCTCAGTCTTTAAGAAACTTTTTTTTTATTTAAATTAATTTTGTTTATTTTATTTTCTCTCGTTTAATAATAAAACTGTTACGTAAAAGTTGTACAATTTTCAAATATTATATATGTTTATATATGTTTAACTGTAATAAAATCTGAAAATCTTCAAGATATAAAAGAAATATATACATACGCATATACATATTGAGTTATAAGTCTATAGTTATACTTTTCTGTGACATTATCCGTTGATACAAATTTATTGAATGAATTTTTTGGTTAGTTTTGTAACTATATATTATTTGTTGTTATTTGTAAATGATGAACTTTTATATATTTTATTAACAAAGTAGTAAATAATTTGAAAGAGATTTAGCAATATTTGAAATAATGTAATATGACGTATTATTTCATATTTATATTCTATTCATCAATATTCGCCGATAATCGTGGTGAATTAAACACAGATTCATATAATGTATTAAAAAACGTATAATTTTTATTAATTCGAATCTTTATTGTTTCTCATAACAATAAGGAAATTAAAATTTACTTTACAATAGTAGTGATAAATATTTATATTAAAAATATTCAGTTCTCACGCAATATGATTAAAATATTATTTTTTATCTTTGTCATATTTATAAAATTCATATTTTGTCAAAATGACTTTTTTGATGAAGAATTAATGTTAAAACCATTATCAAATAATTATGTCTATGCATATTTTCAATTTACTACGGTATGGGAAACTACAAAAAACATAAAGACATGTAAGTTATAATATATAGCATATTTTAGAAAAAATTATTTAATAATAAAATATTTATAAAATATTTATTTTTCATTGTCTTTCTACTAACTACAAATTTATATTTCAGTTCAACATTCTCATTTATTTCCAAGAGGCCTTGGTGAAATTATAAGTCGTCATAATGTAGATGAATTACATCTTACATTAACCAAAGGTTTATGGAATTATCAAAAATGGGGATATCCTTATCATGATGCTGGTCCTGGTGCTGAAATATTTACATGGTTTCATAAAGATGTCACCAAGTAAAATATCACTTCAAAATTAACATATAAAATTTATATTATTAATTTAAGAATTATGTAAATAATATTAATACTAATATTATTTTATATTTTTGTCAGTGTTGATATGGAATGGGAAGGTTTAACAAATGCTTTAGCTGGTTTATTTTGTGCTTCCTTGAATTTTGTTAATCCTGCAAATAGTATTTCTCCAGAATTTACATTCCGACCTACAGGTGTAGTAGAACATAGTATCAATTCTAGTCATCTACGCTATTCATCATTACCAAGAGAAATAGTTTGTACTGAAAATTTAACTCCATTTAAGAAACTATTGCCATGTAATTCTAAGGTATGTAATCTTATATTTATATATTTTGTATAATCAATATTTAGATAACTTATATGTATAATATTTTAATAGAAAGGTTTGGCAACCTTATTAAATTCTGCTTATATTCATAATACAAATTATCATTCCATTGGAATACATTTTCGAATTATATGCTCTAACATGATCTGTACTAAAACATCATTAGAGTTACGTCAATCTGTTTCATTGATATATGATACTATAACAGATACATCACAGGTAAAATTCATAAATTTCTCATATCAAATCATAAGAAATTTCTAGTACTTATTTGAATCTTTCCATAGGACTGGTCAATTCGAAAATTTTTTGGAATAGGTATTAGAGGAGCATGCCCTCTTGCTACATTAAGCAATGTATATATTGACATATCTAGTAATGGTACAAATCAAGTTTATGTATTAGTACCTCCACCAAGTGCAAAAATCATTAGTCTTCGAGGAGGACAATTAAATGAAATTGCAGTTTATGATATAAGATCACATTCCACAAAAGGAATATTTAATATTGGAGTTCTATATAATACTACTCACACAGCTGGTTTAAATTATCCTTCAATTTTGTTTGCAAATAGATACGTCATTGGTTTGTATAAATAATAAAATTATAATAGACATATGAAAGAAAATATATACAAAGAAAAAAAAAACAAAAGAAATTTTTTCATGTAGGATATGGACAAGAAAAAGGTAGTTTAGTAACAAAAATTTACAATAATTACTGGCGAACACTCGACATTATTTTATTAGAAAGTATTCCATGGTATTTGCCAGTATATTTACATTCTGTCACAATAACTTGTGGAACAAAAAATATTATACCATGTGAGTAGTTGTATTCATATTATTATAGGCAGTGACTTTTTATTTTTAATAATTTGTGGTTCTTTTTCGTTTCGGCGAGATATTCTTTATTGTTTTGATTTATGGAAATCTTATATATAGTGGCACAACGTTATCTGCCAGGCAAGGAAAGGAAAAGTCCTTACCATTTAGAATTAATTTTACGTTTACCACCACAATCGGTAACTAAATTTTCTATAGAAATGGAATATTCTTTTCTTAAATGGCAAGAATATCCACCGGATGCTAATCATGGATTTTATATGGGTCCCGCTATAATCACTGCATTACTTCCGATCGCGAGGAATTATAGTGCATTACCGCTCGATGGAAGTACTATAACGTCAAGGTTAAAAAATTAGCTATATTGATCAATAATACAGCATGACACAACATATATATATATATTATATATATAATATATATATATAATATTCAATATTCAATATTTGCTAAAGATGCACTTAAATTTTCAGTTTTAACGCTTCAAGAGAAGGATATATAGTACAATTGAGAACTGAATCTTTATTAATTAGCCTGCCTACACCTGATTTTAGTATGCCGTACAATGTAATTTGTTTAGCTTGTACAGCAGTTGCCATGGCCTTTGGACCACTCCATAACATTTCAACTAAAAGATTAGTTTTAAAACATGTTGAAATGGATTGGAAGGAGAAACTGTTTTCATTTTTAATTAAAAAAATCGTTAAACCAAAGAAAAAGCAAGAATAAAAATAGTGTAATTTATTGAAATTTGGTTTTACACACACATATATATATGAAAATATATATATATGATTTTTTTTATTAAGATAAAAATTGTTATTAAAGAAAAATTTAAAAAAATAATAAAATATAAATACGATCATTTTATATTTCAATAAAATATAGAAACAAAATTAACTAAAAAAAAAAAAAAAAAAAAAAAAAAAAAAAAAAAAAAAAAAAAAAAAAAAAAAAACAAAAACAAAAAAAAAAAAAAAAAAAAAAAAAAAAAAAAACAAAAACAAAAAAAAAAAAAAAAAAAAAAAAAAAAAAAAACAAAAACAAAAAAAAAAAAAAAAAAAAAAAAAAAAAAAAACAAAAACAAAAAAAAAAAAAAAAAAAAAAAAAAAAAAAAACAAAAACAAAAAAAAAAAAAAAAAAAAAAAAAAAAAAAAACAAAAACAAAAAAAAAAAAAAAAAAAAAAAAAAAAAAAAAAAAAAAAAAAAAAAAAAAAAAAAACAAAAACAAAAAAAAAACATTCGTTTCGATTTTATTTTTCCTTTCCTTATTTTTTTCTCTTCTTTTTTTGTAGTTTATATATAATATATAAAAAATGTTATATCTTATTTGTTATATGTGATTGATTTGATAAACGTTCGATTTATGTTTTAATTGAAAAATACTAGATTTGATCGATTTGTTACTTAACATTTGGAATTTCTTTTTAATTAATGACAATATGCTGTGAATAATAAAAATGATATGTGTAAAATCATTTTACATATTTTATAATCATATAGAATTGAAACAATAAATATTGTAACAAATTTAACGCGCATACGATAAATTTCGTATGTTAAATAATCAACATTTTATGGTGTTGATTCAAGGATTGGGGATAAACTTGTACGTGTATTTAACATTGTACTATGATACTTGCTTGTATAATTTTCACTATCATTGTTTAAAATATTATTCGACAACCATTCGCTTTTTTGTTGTGTTGAACAAATATGAGATTTTAATTGGAATTTATTCGAAGAAAGCTTTTCTAATAACGAATTTGTTACATCTTCAGATACACAATTCATCGAATCTTTATTTTTATCCGAAGATGTAAGAATACATGAATTTTCTTCTTCATCCGAAGAGCAAAGATCAATCACCGTAATTTCATTCGACGGTTTTACACATAATGTGGTCTCTTTAATTGAATGAATGACAGTTGTATTATTTTCGTCACAAAGATTTTTACCTTCAAAATCGGTTAATTCTACAACATTAATTTCATTGGAAACTATCTTTTCATTCTCTTTTGTCTCGTTTAAATCACTTTCATCATTTGGAGCTTTACGTTTTGAAGAAATGTTTGGTTTTGTTTTTTCATCTTCTGATATCGATCCTCTGTTATCGATTGAAATATTTCGAACAAGACACTGATATTTTGATGGATTTCGTTCAAGATTATACATTTGTTCTTGAGTTAATCGTTTTAAAAGAACAAACACAGGTCGACAAAGAACGTATAATAATTGTGATTGTATGCTTAACACTAAAAAGAAGAAAATTTTTTTGTAAAATAAATCTTAGTATAAAACACAATGTGATCTTTATTATGTGAATATAAAAAGGAAGAAGGGAAATTTTACTAAATTATTTCGAAGATTAAATACTCACTTGGTTTTTTTTTAACAGAATTTGCAAATTTATATTGATGAACATAATCACATGCCGTCTTTTCTCGATTTGATTTATATGTAACAATCCATTTATCATGATCAACATCTGCTTCTAACCACTTTGGTCTAGATGAATTGTTTAAAACAGGAGCAATAAGATGTCTTTCTATCCTTTCTAGTCTTTCTTGTTGCGTTTCTTCTGTCATTGCTTTTGATTTTTTAGCTAATAATATACCAGCGGGAGAAGAAAAAGGAATAGTTGGACATCTTGTAAAATTGATAGCTCCGCGAACACGACGGGAGGTGCGTCTAATAATGTTGTTGTTGTTATTGTTATTATTATTATTATTATTAACTGTTGTAGCACCATTGCTGTTTTCAGCAGATTTAGATTCGGAGTTTATTGAACACAACTGAAAATATTCCAAGAACTGATCTTGTTTTAATTCAGGTTCTATAATAGACAATTCTGGTGTTGTAGGTCGCGAATTATTTCCGTTTTGTTCTTGTTCATAACATACACGTTCGTGTTCCTATGTGAAATTATCATTAATTTCATTTATCTTCTTTATTATAATCTATATGCACACGTGGGCACGCGTAATGTACCTTCATTTTCTCTAGGCCTATAAATTCAGCATCACAATTGTCACATAGATAAATATCTTCCGTTGATAAATCAACGTTTTGTTGATGCTCAACCATCATCATGGAATGTTGTTGTTGTTTTGACTTATTATAAGAGGAAATTACTCCACTACAAGATAATAACTTTTTTCGAGGACTTCTTTCTCTTTTGTCATAATTCTATAAATAAAACAAATTATATTTTTTATTTAATTTTTATAAAATTTATATACATACGACAAAGCATAAATTAAATAACAAACCATATTTTCATTTCGAAATGTTACTAATAATTTGCCAGTATTTTTATGATATAAACTTGTTGTGGAATCCCAATTGTTGACATATTCCAAATCTTCTTGCGGGTATCGTGCAAGATATGAACAAAAGCGTAAGAGATATTCGCTTCTGTGATATGTATAACATCTGAATACTAATTTTTTCAAATTAGCCATCCAATTCTAAAATATAATGCCCATTTTGAAAATCAAGTGCTTTATCATTCAAAAACAATTATTTATACATTTACATTACTATGATTAACATAGTTAACTTACATCATTTACTCTTTTAGGTCTTATTAAAGGATTTGAAAATTTAACTTCTTTTGGCCACCATTGTGGTACACTGATCACTTCATTGGTATCATGACCTAAAGAGCACTGTACCATAAATGTAACAAAACGTTCTAACTGTGCCTAAAATTAAATATTTTTTGTAATATTTATATTTAAAATTATTATTTTATTAAAAATTTATTAAAAAATATAAATTCTTTCTATATTAACATATAATTTTTAATCTTCCAAAAACAGATTTTAATCTTCCAATAATATATGAAGTGCATGATAATATATGTAGATAGGTTTTATTATATTTATTTATTTTTTCAAAAAACTTTCTTAAATAATATTTCATTCATTGTAATATAATATAATTGTTGTATATTAAAGCAAATACAATTAAATTAACTCAAAGTAATCAAAATAAATTTGATGTTAATGAATTATAATTCAATATAAATGATAATTATAAAAAGTAATATTCATACCAATGTAATTTTTTCTAGCGATGTTGGATGTCCATTAGCAAACAAAAGGGGAAGATTTGATACCATAGAACCTTCTTCTATAGGATTATTATTTTCTGGTTCAATGGTATCTGTATCAATTGTCACAGATTCATTTATTTCATTGGGCAATTGATTTTGAGGTAAAGCTACCCCATATTCTTGTTCTTGTAACATTGAGTATCTCATGTCTTCAAAATTATCTGCAATATTTTTGTCCAAGATATAATATTTTCTACTATAATAATTGTTCGCCTGTTATACTTGTTCTTGAATTTTTATTTATCAATTCTAATTATTTTCTATACAAAACCATTTTATAAAAAAATCTAAAAATTTTATGTGAATTAAAACATCAAAAAAAAAAAAAAAAAAAACAATTCATAATATAAAAAAAGATATATATTCATTAAATAATAATTAAAATATGAAGAACAAAAGAAAATATATTTTGAGTTGTTCATAATTTTTTATTATAAGTATTACAAATAAATATTTTTTGTATTGTTTTTATTTATATTGTTTCAAGTTATTATAAAATTATATAAGACAAATTAATATATAACAATATTTATATATTTTAAGATATAAATTTGTCTTTATCATTTATTCTTAAATAATCATTTATTAATCATGTAAATAAAATATTAGATAATTTTATGTATTCCTAATTATTAAATATTATAAAAATTAGAGAATGAAAAAAAGAAAGAATTATATAGATCGCAAATGTCATTTACGCTTTATTAATATCAAATATTTAAATTTTGATAAAATACATTATAAACATAAAAATAGAAAAAAATGAATTCAAAATATATATGAAAAATTATCAAAAGTATAAAAAAAATTAGCCAATTTTTAAATAAAAATTATAAATTCGCGGTTATCAGTCATATACCTGTTCAATACTTTTTGAGATAATCGAACGACCTTTCTTGCCTTATATCTCAAAGTTGGTGTTTCACAGAAAAGTTTTTTGATCACCACGTTGTAAATTATACTTTATATGAAATTTAAATTATAATTAAACGCAATAATCAAATTATCAAATAATTTTAAGACACAAATGATACAATGAAGACACATCGCGCATTATCTTTATGGCAACCCTTTTTGCCACCAGAGGGACACATACTAATAGTACATTTTCATAAGCACTTAATTATTCTTTCCTATAAATATATCTTCTGACCTTCCTTATCTTGTTTTAAGAGTTTTAAATCGCGTACAATTACAATCATTTCAAAAATTATTTTTTTACAATAATGCTAAAAAATGTTTAAAAAATTATACATGTTTAAATAATTATATCAAAATAATATATAGAAATTCAAATATATTATAAACTTACAATTCGAAAGTAAGTTGTTGCGTATAAAAAGATTTGAAAAATATTATGATTTATAGAGATTGTTTTAAATTTTTTTATGAAATTTTATATATGTAACAATATTTATATATAATATTATATGTAATTTTAATTTTTCATATTATATACATATGATATGATAAAAAATTTTATGAAGGAGAAAAAAATAATCGATATTATAGTATTTATAAATGCATCTTAGCATCTTAAAATACAAATTATAATAATATCTTATTAATGATGAAAATAAAACATTTAAATATCGAAATAATAAGTTATAGTTTCTACAAAATAATGCACAACTAACGATTTTTTAAATAAATATTTCCGTAAAAGAGAAGAAGAAAAACAAAAGAGCTTGAAAACTTGTCAGTCATATATAGAATAAAAACATTCAAAACACTATTGATTTGATAGATCGAATGATTTTTTATTATTATGTAGATAAAATA